AATTAAAGCTCAACCAACATTTCACACAAACCCAATTCAAATTAAAGCTCAACCAAACCCTAGAAAACCAAAGCAGCAAAATTAAGCTTCAGAATTAGCTCAAACAAACTAGCAAACCTTAAAACTGAAACCAAAAAAACAAAACCAATCACGGCAGGAAGTAGTCAAGGCGGACGAGATCCTTTGGTAAGAAACGAAATCAAGGGATTCTGACCCAAATACAGAATTAAATAGAGCTGATCTAGGAGGTAGTCATATGCAAATCAATAAAAATTTGAGGAAGGAAGAGGAATTACCTGAGGCGCTGATCTATCGAGAGAGATGATGAAAAGTCTAGTAGATGCGCTTGAGTGGCCGACGACGCGAAGGTGAGAGAGCAGCGGGAGCAGCGGGAGCAGCGGGAGCAGCGGGAGCAGCGGGAGCAGCGCCAAAGTCAGGGCGGACGGTGAAGGCTCATCGCCGTCGGTGAGAAGAGAGTATAGACCAAATTCAATTCAAAATTGAAATTCAAGGGTTTTAGGGTGAAATTGAAATGCACGGAATTTACTCATTAGAATTACTCGGTTAAAATACATGTATTTCATCCAAATTCAATTACATTTTATTTAAGTAAAAACAAACAATGAAATTGAATTTGAGCACTCCAAATTCAAATACACACCGTCAAATTCAAGTTGCCAAACAGAGCATTAAATTATTCACCTTTTAAAGAATGGAAAATTTATTTATTTGTTGGAACAAAACAATATATCTTAGATAAATCCAGAAGAAGCTTGATTGGGAGGACCAAGGAGGGAAAATTCGTCCCCTTGTTCTTGCAATAAAATGTTCAAATCGGATTCAACTTCAATATTCTGGTGGAGATAAACTTGTTGCTCCTGTGTGTTAGAATCAATGAGCAAGGCAATCTGGGCTTGTGTCTTGGCAATCTCAGTTTCTGCATTATGTATTTGCTGGTAAAGAAGAGAAATGATTCCAGCGCAGCCGTAAACAGGATCTTGAACTCGACATTGTGCCTCATAGTATAAGCAATCCACCGCGGATGCTCGTTGATTTTCCGGCAGTTGCTTAACAATTAGGAAGCGAAAATATCAAATACAAAATCCTTACAGTATATTAAATATTCGAATATAAACGTATAAATGTAGGAATATGAATTTAACTATAGTCTAAATTGAATCAACTACCTAGTAAATTCTTAAACTTGGGTTATTTTTTTTTAGTATGGTGACAATTTGGTAAGTGGCAGCTGGTGAACCATATAGAAAATTTACAAGAAATTACACTTACAAAGGCTCTATAAAGAGTTAATGAATTTTTTTGGGGTTCGACCGACTTAATGCTACATCGAAGGGGTGATTTTTTTTCCTATACAGGCATAGTGTTATGAGTGAATGTCAGATTTCTGTTTTTTTGAATGTAAGATTAATGGAGTATAAGATTAATGGGGTAAAAATCTAGAAAAAAAAATGCATAAAAAGAGGTGAGTATTTGGATTTGACGAATATAAATTACTAAGTAAATCTTGAAAAATATATGCATGATCGATGCAGAGATTTATAATTACCTGAAGCATTCTTGCGACATTGCTAGCACCATAGATTCGATGAATGCAAGCAAATCTTTGAGGATCATTAGGAGGAAAATAAGGAGAGAAAATGCAATCTGAAGGACACCTTCTTCTCAAATACTTGCAAGCAGCACAACGAGAGTTCATGATTCCAAAATCTTGAAAAAAATCTAATTGAAAATATTCTAAACCAAAAAAAAAGAAAAAAAAAAAAACCAAAGATATATTCCCTCAATCTTTTGTTTTTGACGCTTAAATCTAAAGGAAGATTTGATTTTAGGGTATGTGATTTAGAAGGGATTATATATTTAGAGTAGAAAAACACATCCTGGTTAGAAAATTTACAACGGCTAGTTTTTTATTCAAATTTTAGCATTTGGAAAGGAAAGTTTCCATGTGATTGGGCTGCGATTGCCATAACACAAAAGATTGTGGAAAGAAGAAGATGAACAAAGGTGGCAAGTCCACTCATTTAGACTTCACAAGGAAATTACAAAAATCAATCAATTTTATGAGGAAACTTTACCATTCAAATCTTTATTTGCACCAACTTAAAAATTATACAATACTTCACAACTTTTTAATTGAGAGTAATTAATTTTTTTTTGGCAAGAATAAAGATATTTACATTGAAATGTATATACCAAAAATTTGTTAAAATGTCATATGACATCAAACAAATAACCAAATTACCTAACCTATTGAGCAAAGGAGTCCAATAGAAAGCTTGGGGAACATGTGCATAAGGCAAATTGCTCCTATACTCACTGGCGACTGCCAACCAATGATAGTTTAATTAGAAGAGGAGTGGCTTCGGATGCCCAAAATTCCTTATGTGCACTAGGATCACCTTTTTTTTTTTTTTTGGGTCCAAATCAATGATTTTGTGTACAGTTGGTTTTTGGAGCAAATAAAGAGAATGCTAGGCTTTAATTAATGGAAAATAATTAATACATCCAGTAAAGTTATATACTCTGTTATACACTAACAGTTTTTATTATTTATGCCGTTAAAGTTAATTATGCCGTTAAAGTTAACGGTTTTCATTATTTATACCATTAAAATTGATGATTTTTATTAGTTATGTAATTAAAACTAACAATTTCTGCTATACATTAACAGTTTCCATAAGTGAGTAACGGAATATATAATTGTGCAGAATGTATATATTATTGTTCTTAACTAATATTTTTAGTCACTATTTGGTCAATCTATTTTGCTTGATCAAGGAATAGACTGATATTTAGGAATGTGGAATGAGATGAGACCAGATGCTGTGCTGGTCCTACACAGTTGGCCTTGTTGGTTTGATCGCTATTCTTGATTGCTTATGGAACAAATTAACTCAAATGGTTTGAGGTGGATGAAAACAAGAGCTCGGTTTTATGGTTCCCCCCCCCCCCCTCTTTTAGTCTGCTTTTGTTGGGAGCAAGTGGTGCTCCAAGGTTGAGAGATGTAATCCGTCGTGGTCTCTCTGATAAGGGGAATTTGGACTCAAAAGAGGCTACAAGAAACTGGGTTAGAGGGTTGCCTCAGTTTGTTTGTTATGTGATCCAAGGATTGAGGCCTTCAAAGTTCAAATAGTTCTTGCTACCCATGGCGCGTGATTACTGAGATGTGGTAATCATTCTACTTTGTAGTTATGCTATTCCCTATAGCAATTATATGCTTATATATTCTCTAATTTAAGTGCCTCTTGCACTTGGCTGATTGACTTTGGATAGATATTTTTTTTTTTAATGATTAAGGTGTTTTTGAATTAGTTTATATATATATCGAAACTAGTTATTTCAGATTCTAATTAAACCATCCACATTGGATTATGAAAGGTATCTTACTAACTAGTGCCCAATAGAGAGATTAGTCCTGCAATCTCTTGTTTTATTTCTCGGGGCTGTTATTGTCATTTTCTTTTTCTTGAACATGGGAAAATTTTTGGTGAAGGGGGGAATATTTTTTGCAAGTGCTAGGTGGAACCCAGAAACCACCGAGTATTTATGGGCTGCTTGGAGAATAAAAATTGAAATCTAGCAACTAGTAAAGTTAGGGGGTATTAGTTAGTAACTAGTAGATATTAATTTTAATAATGATTTTGTTATATAATGGTAAACTATTACTTTTAATGTTGAATGACAAATCAAGAAAAATTTTAAAAGTAGTTAATTGTTTTTTTTCTTAATTATAAAAGAGTTTATTTTAATTCTTTTTTTTATTGTTATTGATATTATTATGCAATCAAAAATGAAATATTCTTTTGTTTTTTAGTACAAAAATTGATTTCTTCTTTTTAAATATAAGGCAAAAGTTACAAACTTTTCTATTAGTTAATTGTAATTATAACTTAGCAAATTTTTGTTAAATACAAAAATTAAATATTTTACAAGTAAATTTATTATAATAATTTAAAATTTCTAATTTACTAGCATTTTGAGACAAAAAATTACTTTAAAGAGCTTTTTCAATTTGCTAGCTAGTAAATTTGGCTCAAACCACTAATCACTACTCTACTAAGGAAAATAATTTGTATACATTCAATTTAATATACTTTTTGACACTTTACCGATTTACTAATTAAAAATATAATATAAATATAACTTATTCAATTTATTCTTGCATCATATGCGCATAACTGCATTTTAAAGTTTATTTACTTTTAATTTAATATTAAAAAATAATAATTTTTTAATATATATTGTATAGTGTGTTAAACTAAAATATATGTACTAATCAATATCCTTTTATTAAACACCAAATACTTAGCTGTGGATGAAAAAATTAATTTATCAAACACTAGTATGTAGTAGTTTGAAAATGAAACCACAAATTGCTAATATTGAAACCGCTATACCAAACAACTTCTAATATCAAGGCACTTATCATATGACTGGTAAAAAAATCATGAAGTCCAGATTCTTAGAAAAGAAGATCATAAGGCAATAAAATTTCAAAATATTTTCTGCTATGCTTAATTTGGACCAAAATCTGACATTTTCTGCCATGCTTAATTTGGAACAAAATCCGGCATTCTCCACGTTAGATTTCCTTCTTATAGGGCTATTGCTTTGTTTGGAAAAAAATCTAGGGGTATCCCTTAGATTTGGTCATAATTTATTGTGCGCAATAAATCAATTAATATGTGACAAGCAACGTGCTTTAGAATGAAAAAATATATATATATATATTTAGGGTCTATTTAGTATAATGGTTAAAATAATTTAACAAATAGTGAATAGTAAGTAATAAGTAGTGAATGGGTGGTGTTATTGCCACAGCCACTAATGTTAATGCCACAGCTTTTTTTAGTTATTTGACTATTATACCCCTCATTTGAATCCAACTTGCAGCAGTCACTACCTTCTCCGCGTGGGTTAATGGTCAAATAACTAAAAAAAGCTGTGGCATTAACATTAGTGGCTGTGGCAATAACACCACCCGTAGTGAATAGTAAATATTAGATGCTGATTAACATAATTATTCATTTAATTATATAATGATTAGTTGTTTTATTTAACATTAAATGACAAATAACTTAATAAGTAAATATTTAAAAGCAATTAAATATATTTTTTATTTTATATTTTTTCATTTATTAAAATTATTACTTTTATAAAAATAAGAAGAAGGAGAAAATAAATAAATAAATAAAATAAAATATAGACGTGTAAATCACACATTAATATTTATATTTAACAAAGAAAAAATAATTTTTTATAAATAAAGACAAACCGAACTTTTAATTATTTAATTTAATTACTAAATTTTTTATTAATTATTTTATTTGTCTTAAAATAACTATTATTATTTTATATTTTTCACATATTAAGAATTTATAATTAAACAATTTATATACTTTCTTTTATTGAATTTAGTGGTCCCAGTTTAACTTGTTATATAAAATTTGACTAAATAATTTTATATAGTAAAAAAATGATAATTGAAAATTTTTTTCTTTCTATACCTAATACTTGTTAAGTATTGTCATTTAGATTAAACAAATTTATAATTATCATTCATTTATTATATAAAATTATTGAATCAAATTTTATAAAAAAAATCAAACAAGAACAATTAAATTTGACCAAAAATAGTATTTACCTATATCACCCTTAAGAGAAAATTTTAATAAATTAATTAAAATTAAGGGATAACTATATGATTAAAGTAGAAAAAAAAACATTTATTTTTCTTAAAAATTGAAAAATAACAATTAATTTGGACAAATTTTAACTAAAAAAACAGTTATTTTGATGCAAATAAAGTAATATAATTTTTTTTAATAATAAGGTAATGTAAAAAATAAAAATATAATAATCACTTAATATTAGGAAACAAGAAAAAAAAATTTGAAAACAAATAGATAACTAGTAATTATAGATGATAGCTAAAAATTGAATAATTAAAATGTATAAATTCAACAATAAAATTTAAAAATTTCAATTCGTTAGTAATTTAATATAAAAAATTACTTTAAATAGTCTTTTTAATCTACTAATAATTTAGATCTCAACCGTTATTAGTTAATTTCAAATCTCTAAAAGAAAAATTTTACAAAATAACTAGTTTGTAAAGGTTTAAAAATAAACAAATTTTCAATATGTATTATCAAACATAAATTCATATTTTTAGATAAAAAGTGTTATCAGACAATGCTTTAGCTCCCATAAATTTCACACTGCCATGTAGCTCCAAGAAGCCAAAGACAATTTGACACCCATTCTTACATTTCCTATAGGATTAGGACAATGTCACAAATTGTGTCTCATTCTGTCTGGGGTGCACATGTCCATGAAAGAGAGATGGAGATCGACAAAGTGCAAGAGATAGAATCTCATAGGAAGCTAAATTTATATTTATCTGTAACTTAGTTTTTTATTTTTGGCCAAATAAATATGACCAGTTCAATTACATATATATGAAAGACCATGGGGTCCAAGCAACACAGGTGAGTAGATGGACTCCATAGCCCTTCAGACTTGCAAATGTATAGAAAGGTACTGACATATTACCATACATTATATATATGTATATATATATACATATATTTTTCTCAGAACTAGTATTACTATATTAAGTATCACATATGACTTCCTGTTTATATATATCAAATTTTGCTATATACCAAGTTAATTCCTCTCCTCATCCTTCACGGCTGCATTCAGAGTTGCAAAAAATCCCATACATCATCTCTTCAACGGCCAAATCCGAATAAGAAATCCAAGAAATCATCCCCCGAACCCTGAAATTAAGAGGAGAAAAGACAGATTAAACCAATTTTTGTAAAGGAACCTTTACACATTAATTGAGCTTATTTGGCATGATTCCACATGCCTGGTTCTGAGATGCATTGTTCATGAGATGTCTGTTGTTGACTCCGAGATTGGTGATTTCTCCTCCATTTTGTGGCTGAAAAACATAGTTATATCGTTCATGAGAAGTAGGCATAGTATTTTCTCAAGAGCAATTTGAAGGAAAATCATGATGAAAATTAATCAGACTTGCCTGGTTAGCATTCTGATCAAACAATAGCTGCACCAAGGGAGATATGTTGCCACCAGGGGTGCTGTTGTTCACCAGCTGATCTCCTCCTTGAATTTGATTCTAATCATGCACAAAGAAGAAGATTGCAGCTTATTTAGCACATTTTAATCTCTGTTTTGATCAGCAAACATGTATTAATCTTAATTTGGAATTACAACTGTTGAATGCTAGAGAGCATACCTGAGTTGCCTGACCAATAGCTTGTTCGTTCCAAGAATGGTTTCCATCAACTAAACATGATCCAGTAGTGTCAGACAAGCTAGGATTCAGAGTTTGGTTTACAATCTGATTTAGATCACCCAAATTGTCCGCGCCTTGTTGCTATACACATCAAAATAAAAGGTTTCTTAAATAACAAGAAAGAAAGATGAAGCAAGTAACTTATTTTTCTGCAACAAAAAATAATAATAATAATAATGGTTACCTGATTAGGGAACTCCAAGTTGGTTGAATCAAAGAGATTGACAATAACGTTGTCATCAAAGAGAGATGCATTATTTAGGAAATTATCCAAATTGAATTCATTTTCACCACCTGCTCCATGGCCAAAGAGTCCCTCTTGCGTATGTGGCAGCTGGGAAGTATGGTTGTTTGTTGCTAAGGTTGGTAATGATGATGACATTTGGTTTGGAACCTGATCAAACCCAGCAGAAAAGGAACTTCCTTGAACCACATTACTAGAATTTCCATTCCCCAACATTGAGGCAACATTCATGTTTCCATTGCCATAGCCACCAGTGCTAGCACTATCATTAGTAGTGTTATTAAATTGGAACTGATCTAATCCAAACTCTCCATTTCTGGTCATCCTAGTTCCACTATAGGTGTTACCTTGGCTTCTAGGGTTTGGAGCACCGAAATGAGTAAAGTCAGATGCCCCAAATTGGTATAGAGCAAAGGAGTTAATGCCATTACCAGCATTGTAAATATTGGTTCTTGCTTGAGTACCCTGTTGAGGGTACACGTGCATTGGATTCAAATTTGCACCATTGATAAGACCATTGGGACTAGGATTAATCATCCCTCCATTTCCTGAGAAATTAGACCCATAATTACTTGATCCAACCCTGAAACTAGGATGATTAGCTTGATAATTAAGAGAAATTGTATTGCCAAACAGAGGCTGCTGCATGTTGCCCTGATTGTACCACAAGCTTGACTGTCCATACCCATACTGGTGTCCGGGGAGGCTAGGTCCAGTTGGAGGGTTGCTGCCGCTGCTGCTACCTGAGGCTGCTTGACCAGGAAACCGAAGAGTCAGAAAGTTAGAACTGGAATTTGGAATTGGAGTTGATGTAAGCGTGTTGCTACCCCCATATCCTTCATATCCTGGTTGGAAATTTAGTCCTCCCATCTGTTGTTGTTGAGCATTTTGGAGCATCATTGCATGACAAGCGGCAAAGGTTGACCGGAGAGCCCTTTCTGTTAGTGTCTTTGATGGGCACAATCCTTTTTCCGCAACCCGTTTCAAAAAGATCCGGTACTTCTACAAAATTTGCAATCATACAATCATGAATTATGTCATGCTTGACTATTCTAAAAACATTTGAACATGATCTCAAAATCAACTCAACTAAATTCTTATTCTGTCATAAAAATTATGATTATGCATATTAATTATTGACTTTGTGGATGTACTAAAGGTATATATAATGGTCATGATTTTACCTGCAAGTGACTAGCAACGTTTTCTCTTGTTAAACCTGGAACGTTCATGCAGTCAAGTATCTTCTTAGGAACGGCTCCTGCAATCATCGAATGTATGAATACTTAGAAGAAAGAAACTACTAATTTGAACCAAATGAGCAAACAAGCAAAACACCCTTACTATCCAAACCAATGTGCCTGATGGCTTGCAAAAACCGATTATGAAGAGAATTAGTCCACACCACCTTCGCCTTCCTGGGCCCAAAAGTTTTTTTCTTTTCAACAATACGCTTCCCCTTTCTTTTCTTTTTGTCATCATTTTTGGCTTGCTTATCACCATCGATATTATTCACTGAAGACGACCCAGAATTTTCTCCCTGGGGTTGATCATCAGCTGGAGTTGTCTTACTATTATCCTGTGATGATTCTCCTTCCGAGCTTTCAACCTCTTCAATGATGGGGGCTTTTCCACTCTTAGCTTGAATGGCATACTGCCATACATTCTTGAGGTCATCTGGGTACACTGGCTTGACTATGTAGAACACAACTCCACATGCTAAGCAGTGTAACATGACACTTTCTTTGTCATCAGAAGACATGACTGCACATACAAATATAATGATAATCATCAGCAAATCAATTCATGATTTTGGGTACCATAATACTTTATTCAGAAATGAATTGAATTTTGTTTCCATGAAAGAATCAAGATGGTCTTTTTAGTTGTTAAAAGGAATTAATATTTTCCTATAAAACTGCCTGGTACCATACAACAGGAAAATAACTCTTTTAGCGTGTTTTTTTTTTTTTTTTTAACATATATTGCAAGGGTAGGTTTTGAACCCTGCTGGGGAAAGGGAAATGCACCGTGGCTATGCCACTAGGCCTTAAGGGCCAGTGCCTTTTAGCGTGTTTAATTTGAGGGAAAGACAGGAAAATGAATGGAAAGAGAGAGAATAGCCTTATTTTGACTAATTAAACAAAGTCATGGAACCAATAAAATAATTTAATTAATTATAATAATTTCTTTTCCTCTCTCCTCTCATTCAAATCAAGTAAGTTATATATTTTATTGGCAAAACCATAGGTTAAGCCCCTAAACTAACCCCAGAATTACTATTAAGCCCCTAGACTTTAATTGATGCAGTTAAGCCTTTGAACTCTGGGATCAAAGCAATTAAGCTCTTCTTACGCTATTAAGCCCCTAGAATTTAATTTTTAAAATAAATTGCTTAAGAAGAAGGGCTTAATTGCTTTGATTCCAGAGTTCAAGGGCTTAACTGCATCAATTAAAGTCTAGGGGCTTAATAGCGATTCTAGGGTTAGTTCAGGGGCTTAACTATGATTTTGCCTATTTTATTTTACCAAATCTCTCTTCATTCATTTTAAAATTCTAATTTTAAGATATATTATTTTTATTTATAAAAATAATAATTTTATTAATAAAAATACAAATAGTACTACATTTTGTTACAGCGTAGAGGTGATAATACTTACTAATGACTGGTAATTTGAATTCTTCATTAATTTGTCTGTGGAGTTGGAGGCCATCCATGTGAGGCATATGCAGGTCAGTGACCACAAGGTCGATGCCTGGACGTGCACGAAGGGTGAACAGGGCATCATGAGGGCTTCTGGCCGTCGTCACTGAAAGATTAAATAAAAGAATCGCAAAATTAAAGTTTTTTTTCTTTACCGATTATGTTGTGAGAAAATTGAAGTTTTTTTTTTCCAAAAAAAAGAGAAGAAGAAGAAAAGCTACTAAGTAAATTTTATATGTTCTAAGTACGTGACTATCTAATTAAATTCTGTTTGGCACTAACTTGCTGAAATTTATTTTCTTGTGCAATTTTTTTTAAAACAATTTTTTTATGACGATATTTCCTCAAAAGAAAGAGAAATTATTTCAAATAAAGAACGAAAGAGACACTTCTATTTAACTTAAGTTTTCCTCTTTTGGCCAATAATCACTAATAGAAAATGAATAATCATGAACAAATTAACATAAGTTCAAAATAAAACAACAATTAAAGGAAATGATTAAATATAAATTAAAAAAAAAAAGGGAAAGGAAAAGGGAACTTTTAAAAACATGGTTGTCCAAGAGAAATGGGTATCCTTAGGGTGTGTTTGGCTTGAAAGAAACAAAGGGGAGGGAAGGAATGGTTTTTTTTACTAATTAAATTACAATATTTGAAAATGTTACAATTTAATTAATTAAAAAATTCATTGTTCTTCTTTCCTTTATTCAAACCAAACATATTATTACTGTATTATTCATGTTTAAAACTATATAATCCATTCATAAATAAAAAATGGGCAGAATGTAAGAAATGAAAGATGAAAATGTCCTTTAGGAGATATCTAATGGTTAATAATGAGTCTCTATATTTAAGTTCTCATATTTGTTATTTTAAAATGAGTTAATAGAGTTATATATATCTAATAATAGGATATATAATAAGAAATAACTTTTTTTTCCCTCAAAACTCTTGCCACTTTATCCCATAATTGAACCTAAAAGCCTTCTTGACCATTAGAAAATCCTTGAGGGCTCTCATAAGAAGAGTTTGGGAAGAGGAAATGTTAAGCTCTATTGTATAACCTATCATAAAATATATCAATACAAAGAGAGTTTTGCTCAAAATCTCATATTTATATCTTGAAATGGATAGATTGAGGCTTTTGCTTAGTATACCTCATACCAATAAGTGGCTTTAGGTTGATCTGTATAAAAAAGTGTAAAAATATCTATAAAATTATTTAAATATTCTCAATAAATTAATTTATAAGTATTTTTACACTTTTTTTTTGTTAGGCCGACCTAAAAATCCACGACTCCCTCATGATAATGGATTATATTATAGAATAGAAAAAAACTCTTTTTTTCTCAAATCTTTCTGCACTTATTTAAAGATCAAACCTGAAACTCTTTATTAAGAAACTTTTTCTTAACCATTAAAATATTTTTAAGAGCTTATAAGAAGAATTTTCTTTAAAAACCGGCAATAATTTGTACATATTCTAATTTAATACACTATACAATATACTCATTAAAAATTTGTTATTTTTTAGTTTAAAATTAAAGATAAATAAATTTAAAAATACAATCATGCATACAAACTGAAAAAATCGACTGAATTAATTATATTTATATTATATTTTAAATGATTAAATCGATAATGTATAAAAAAATGTGTTAAATCAATTATGTACATATCATTTTCCATAGAAGAATTCTCTTAAATCGAGGGGAAACACCATACAGGGCAACCCCTAAAAGGAAAATCGATCGTGAACCCTTACAAAACTCACGCTTCAAACTGAAATCGAAGTTTGTATATATATATATATATATATATATCAATTTAAAAACTAGCATGACCTAACTTCTACGAGGAATTCTTTATACCTTCGTAATGCCATTGCCTTAGCATCGCAGCAACGATTGCTAAAGAAGTGGCGTCGTCATCCACGACCAAGATCGTGATCTTCTTTGTGGAGGTGGGTTTGGGAGGATCGATGAAGGTAGACATTGCTGGCTTGTTGTGGTTTTGAAGCTGCGATGACCACAGATATTTATACTGTGAAAAATGGACTCAAACTCAAATCAACACTTGCCAAATGTCGCTCAAAAGGCTATGGTAAATTACATAGAGGGGGAATACAGATTTGTGTTACCTATGGTTTCTGTTGTTTTTGAATGTGTTTTCCACTTTAACCATGTTGGAAGCAGTATGACAACAATTCGCCCGCTGAATTAGTAAAAATTAAATGAGAAAATCTAGAGTGAAATCTTCACATTAAATGAAATTTACCAAAATGAGAGGTCAAAATAGATGGTGTACTTCCTAAAGAAGATTTCTTAATCTTTCCTTATTACATATATGTTATTATTTTCAATTTGAACAAAAGATACTGCCATACAAAACAAAAAAATTTAACAAAGATTGATATCCTATATATCTTGTTCACAACTATTATTAGTCATGCTGTTTTTCTTAAATAGTCCTCCCTTTTTTATTTTAAATTACACATAGAAGGCAACTATTTTTTATCCTTTAACCCCACACTTCCACCTCATCCGCATGTCATATAACTTGAATTCATAATTTTTTACTTCCATGAAAAAATATTACCACTGAACTATTTAAGTTATTAATTAGTTCATTTAATCTTCTTTTAAATTGTTTAATTTCGGTTCTTAAAGTATAAATTTTGATAGCACAATTTCAAGTACTCACTAAAGAAGTGTTCAAAAGGTTTGGAACATTTGCTAAGCTAAATTCCTTCTAAAAGTTCCATCTTTAATTTATTGAGAAGTGCTAAGTGCAAGTGCACTTGGTCATTCATTATCCAAATTCAATTTTTTAAAAACTAATAATAATAAGGGAATTTCAGTCAATGAATGCTCAAGTACAGCTAGCACTTCTCTTTAAAATTAAGTTGAAATAAACTAGAACATTACTCTCATTAACTAGGTACTAACTAGTTCTTTTAATTTAACACGAAAACATTAATTAGAAATTAATTAAACTAAAATGAAGTTTAATAGATAAGATTACATGGAGAAAGACTAATCATTATAAACGTGAAAAAATAAATATAGTTAATAACAGTAATCAGTTAAGATTCTTTCATTTAAAAATATACGATCATGTAATATTCTTTCATTTAGAATATACGATCATGACACGTGACATAATATGACATGATTTCCAATCACTTTCATTTAATTCACTTAGGGACAAAGATCAAAATCATTAACCTCTTATGCACAAATTAGTCCAAGTAAGGCCAACATAAATTTTACCTCTCGTGAAAAAGGGTGAAATTCTCACACCCCCCCCCCCCTAACTGGAAGAAAAATTGTAGGTTAAAAATCAACCATGCCCAACATGTATCGTACAAAAACAATTCAACCTCATTCAAGGGATAACATGTGTGTCACCTAGGTGTAAGATAGGCAAGAGAACATTGTGCTTGCTTCCTGAAAGAGGGGTTAAGTGTGAAGTGTGAACTCAATACTTTCTAAGAAAAAGGCAAAAGAATTTTACACAAATGCGATATATTACATCCTTATCATGTGTTTTAACTTTTTATCAAAAAAAAAAAAAAAGATGACAAAAAAAAACTATATACCAAAAATTTAAAAAAACTAATGTACCAAAAATTTAAAAGACAAAAAAAAGATGCGTCTTGACTAAAGTTTTCCCTTTTACAAAATTACAAAATTACAAAATTATAGAATTTTCCCATATATTTCCATCACAAAAAACCATGTTCTGCCCATGGTTTTGTAGACCAAACCAAGGTGGTTTAGCGCAAGACTCTCTTGACGAAATTACCCTTGCAGTTTTTTTGTAATGACTATATTCAGGGGGATAAGATTGTGTCTAAAAAGCACTGACTCGTCATTTTAGTGTTCCTGTCCTGAGAAGCTAAGCCATCTGTTTGAATGGTAAAATCAACTTTTCTAATAAAGGATAAAGCAGTAACTCTATTTTTACTGTTCATTTTATGACATGAGATTAATGTTTATTATTTGAATTTTTACAAAATTAGAAAAAAAATTACAAAATTATGACTTCTTTTAATTATATTTTTGTATAAATAAAACTTTGTATGAATTTTTACTGTTCATTTTATGACATGAGATTAATGTTTATTATTTGAATTTTTAAAAAATTAGAAAAAAAATTACAAAATTATGACTTCTTTTAATTATATTTTTGTATAAATAAAACTTTGTATGAATTTTGGTTTTATTTGATAATGTTTTTTAATTTTTCTAATAAAGGATAAAGCAGTAACTCTATTTTTACTGTTCATTTTATGACATGAGATTAATGTTTATTATTTGAATTTTTACAAAATTAGAA